ACATATGTTGATCTCACCAAATCTGATCATTCTTAGTTTGCGAAGTTGAGCAGACATTATGCGTCAGATCTTTCTAGATCTGAGCAGATCTTTCCGGATCTGAGCAGATCTCGACAACGTAGAACTTACAAAAATTTCGTTCTCATCATTATATGGTATTAATTTTTACACCCAATATTGGGCATTATATGAAATATAGATAACTCTGTGAAGGGGGAGTTGTATGTATTTAATTAAATACATATATATTAAATAAAACTCGCATAAAATATATTTGTTCATATATTTATTAATATTTATCATAGACGAATATATTTATAATTATATGTACAACTATACCCACACAGAACATGACGTCCATTGGACGTCCATATAACCTCCATAGTTCCATGGAACATCTATCTCCACGATGGATGTTGAATAGACCTCTAAGAGAACTCCATATTATCTCCGCGATAAATATATCGTCTGTAAATCTATTACAGATGTCTAATGGATATCTATGACAGACAATACATGGATAAATATATTTGTACATACATGTTCACGTTTTTACCAAAACAATATTTAATTTTAATATAAATGTTAATTATAATTTTCAAATGTATTGAAAGCCTAGTATATTTAAAAATATGTAATATTATATATTTCAAATAAATGAAATAAAGGGCTCACAAATGGATATAGACGTTTCGGTCCTTATTGGACCATCTTCAGTATAATAAAAAGGAACACAATTTAGAACATTATTAAGGGGGCATAGGACTCTTTCGGCTGTAAAATGTATGTCTTTTTCATGATTATTTTTGGAAAAGATATATGTATAGTATAAGCTATAAAAATCGGGTTTCTTAATAAATAAATATACATCTTTTTGACTATTATTTACAATTTTATATTTTAAAATTTATTGAAAAATACTCTGTCAACCGTCTCTCGCTTTAGACCTTGCACGGCATGCAGCGTTTTGCGGTACCAGAGATATCTCCGAGTTAGATAATCTGAGACAAAAAATTCAAGAAAGACCTAAAAGTATACTAAAAATTGTAGCCCCTATCGGATGGAATTTTAATATTTTTTATTTTTAACAAAATGGCGGACTTTTAAACGTAAAACATCGATTTTCGGCAACATTTCTTACTTTCTTTCTGGAAAAAAATATAAAAAATCAAAGAATCGAAAAAAGCATCCGATAGGGACTAGAGAATTTTATAAGGTTTCATTTAAAAAAACTAAGTAAATCGGTTGATCCGTCCTTGAGTTATCCATGGTACCGATTTTGAAAGTGCAGTTTCGAGAATATCGCGTTTAAAGTTTTGCAATAAGGCTACAGACAGCTGTGCACAAAGCCGTTTAAAGTGCTGTAACTTCCAAACTATTTCGAATTCAAAAAACGGCTTTAGGGTAACATTCTTAAGACATTCCCACACAGCACATGATATCATTCGAATATTCTGTACTCATACTGAATGTTCTGTGATAATACAGGATAAACTGAGAACATTCGTATAATATCTTTAGTAGTACGTTATTTCTCGTATGTGCATGGGATATACGCGGAATATAGAATTAGAGTTTCTAAACTTATACTTCGAATGTACTGTAGTTATATATATATACAGGGTGATTCAGACCACCCGTACAGCCCCTTTATTTCGGAAATAGAACATTTTAGAGAAAAATGTTTCAGGCAAAAGTTATACGGTTTTAAAAGGGCTATATAATGAAAAAAGAAATTTTCGAAAAAATAAATTTTTTATGGTTATATGAAGGTCGCTGTCATTTTTTAAAATGGAACTCCCTATTGTAAATTATACTATCTTATTCTACTAAATAATATGAACAACTTTTGTCTGAAACATTTTTTTATTTGCCTACTACTTTTTGAGATATTCAAGAGAAAAATTATAACTTTTTATATGTTTAGCTTATAATATTTCGATAACTGTTTGTCGGAGGGAAAAGTAGTACAGGACTTTTTTACTTGATTTAGTCTCAGGAATATGCTGTTGCAATGGTGTTTCAATTATTGAAAATTTTTGTGTATGTAAATTTTATGTGTTACAATACATAAACCATTGCAATAGCATATTCCTGAGATTAAATCAAGTAAAAAAGTCCTGTACTACTTTTCCCTCCGACAAACAGTTATCGAAATATTATAAGCTAAACATGTAA